GCCACATCTGTAGCAGCAGCCCCGTCTGTCAATGGGGCTGCTGCAATGCTGCTGGACATGGCCCTTTTCTAAGCAGCAATAACACTGCAAAGGGCGCTTGTCCAGCAGCTCCACCGCGGCGCGGGACCATCCAATTTGGATGGCCCGAGCAGCCGCGATCCTGTTGGCCGCCGCCAGGGGGCACTGCACCCACACGGTGCCCATGCCTCGGGCCGGAAACTTTATGTCCCCGATCCGGACATCCCCCGGCTGGCAGCCACCTCTCGCCGCTACGGCCAACGCCACATCGTCGGCCCGCAGCAACCTGTCGAGGCCCCTGAGCCGGAGCTCCGCCTTGCGGATGGGGCGGGGGATCTTTACGCCCTCGCTTCCCGCGAAGACCCGGCGCAAGTCCCCGGAAAGGGCATCGGCCCTTTGGGCGGATGTTGGGCCGTCTTTCTCCCCAGAACCGGGGAGTTCGACGACCATCGCGCCCGTGGCCGCTTCCCTAACCCTGAGGGAGTCGATCCCAAGTTTCTTGAGATCGATCTCCCTCTTAGCCCTTTCCAGGGCCGCCTCATATCCCCCATCCGCGCAGGTGATTGTCACTGCTGCGGTACGGGGGGGCCTCCTTCTGGCAGCCCCCTTCTTCAGGGGCTGCTGCCTGCCCTGCTGCTGTCGCTGTTCCCCTTTGCTCTTCGGAGCGGGGGGGCGCGAACACCGGGCAATCCTTGCCCTTCAGGTCGGGCCAATTGTTCGGCCTCGGCCCATTGGGCTCTCCTCTCCCTCCTCCCCACGACCCGGGACCAGGGTTTGTCGTGGCCCCAGGCACGCGGGAGAGGAGGGAGGGGCCCCTGCGTTCGCGGCGGCCTCTGGGCTCCACCGGGGGGCGGCATCTGCCGGCCCCCAGTGCCCATACGCGGGCCTCGCGACGGAGGGGGTGGGGGAGGAGGGGGCCTCGCGCCACCCTCCCCGCCCTTATCTCCCTTTCCCTTCTTCCTCTTCTTCTTCCTCTTCTTTCTCTGCCCCGGAGGCTGTGGAGCGCCGTGGGGGAGAGGTGAAAGATCGCGGGTCGGCAGACGGTGAGCCGTCACGGGGGGCCCACCAGGCCCACCGCGGCCCAGTGCCGCCCGCATGTCGACAAGGGCACCGATCTGCTCCGTGTACCAATCGTACCAAGATCTGGTGCCCTTGTCATCAATCCCTGGGGGGTAGTTCGCCGGGAGGGGAGCCGATGTTCCCCCCAAAGACGGCCTCATGGCTACTCCCCCCCGCGAGTCCCCCTGTACGCCACTAAACGTTGGGGGCTTAGGCCCCTTAACCCCCCTCCCCGTACGGCCCCACGGGCCAACGTTGGGGACACAGGTCCCATACCCCCCCTTCACGTGGAGACGTTGGGGATCGGAGTCCCTTACCCGCCCAACAAATCGTCGGGGACGCAAGTCCCTCCTCCCCAGCGGACTTCACCACCCGAATGGGTGTGCCTACTACTTCAACCGCCTTCACCCGAGGGACGCCCCGCGTCTTTTTACGCGGGGTCTCCTCGGGTGAGGCAGCGAGAGGCAAACTCAGGGAGGGCTTGGCGCGGCGAACCGCGCCAAGTTCCTCCCTCAGCTTGAGGACCTCCTTCTGGACGTCCTCATTTTTGCCCACTAAGGACTTTAAGTCCTTGCACAGGAGGGCCAGTTCGCCCGGCTCCTCCATACGCTGGGCCCTCTCACTGAGGGTCGCCGCCGCCACTCTCACAACAGCGGCGGCCTCCCTCAACTTTCGCTGCAAGGAGTCCTTGAGGTTCCCAGAGCATGCAGCGATTTTGTCAATCGCTGCGGCCTCCTCAATGCTTCTTGCAGTGACATCTTGTGTGGGTGCGAGGACCAGTTCCTCCGCGCACTGGGCCTCGTACACCTTCAGCTCTTTACTAGGGAAAGGAAAGGGGGGAGTGTTTTCAGACAGGGCCTGTCTGGCCCTGTCCTCCCTCTCCCTTTTGAGAACCGCCTTTCTCTCGCGCCTCTCGCGCAGGCCAACATGCTCCCCTGTGGTGGGGGGTCTACCCCTCCCCCTCCGTACTGGGAGCCCATCGGGGCCCATCTCTGCGAGGGACTCCTGAGAGCCCTTGCTGCCACTGGCGCTGGCGTAAGGAGTCCCCTGTGACGATGTCACAGGGGACTTGCCAGTGGCTCCATCCCGGGGTGCTTGCTTGGCATTCGGGCTCCTCGAGCAAGATAGGCTCTCCGCCCGAGGTTTGCCCTCGTCCCTAGCGTAAGGGTGCTTGCGCGCCGCCGATGTAGACCTAGCCCTCAGCTTCGCTTTAGCCGAAGCCGGGCCAGGCCGGTTCACCCGGTCAATCACCACCCTCACTTCTTTTCCCTCAACGATAGCCGGTTCGCCCGCGGCGCTCGTTGGCAACGCCACGGGTAGCCCGTCGTTGGATGACGACGGGAACGGAGCCGGGACTGGATCCCCCTCACGCCGGTCGCTGTGGGTTCCGAACCCCACTGCGGCAGTAAGTTTTTTACCTTTGGTTGTATTTTTGGTATCAAGAAAAGGTGGTTTAATTTCGGTGTTTTCCTTCACCTAGGCCAATTGGCTTCACCACGCCTGACGAGCCTGGCCTGCCCGGGATTTTTTAACAAGGTTACCTACCTCACCCTCCCGCTCGGTCAATCGTCCCGTATGGGACACTCACACAACCCACCCACCCTACCCACAGAAAACCCCAAGCCCACCCACTCAACCCCACAAAAACCCCACTCCCATACACCCCCACAACCCACAAAAACCCCCTATAAAAACCCCAGTACCCCCCTTATACCCCCCACTTCCCCAAACCAAACCAAACATTCACACAAAAATAAAGAAAAAGAAACTACACTCTTACATTGACCGAGACGGTCGGTGCACTCTTAGACCCCTTCTGAACAAACGAAGGGGAGCCCCTCCACCACGACAAGGTGATGCACCATCGGAGGGGACCGGCCGCAGGCCTGCTCTAGCGTATCGCTTTACGGCCGAAATACAGCCTGAACCTGAAAATGCTTTTTTTCCTCTCGTGGCAGAAATCAGTAATGCAACATGATTAACGGGCGCCCATTCTTTGAGAATTTTATATTTGCGTATATACATATGTGCATACACAGGGTGTCCTAGACCACCCGTACACCCCTTTTTTTCAAAAACTAAACATTTTAGAGAAAAACGTTTTGAACAAAAATTGTATGGTTTTGAGGGGAACATAAGATGGTGTCATTGGTTTGACCTTGGATGGCATCGTTAAGGTCAAATTAAAGACACCTTTAATTTCTTAAATGGAATCCCCCATATTTTATTGCATATCCTTGTAGCTTATCTCGAGAGCTTTTCAAAACACTGTAATAAAGTATTTTGTCATTAAGTACTTTTTAAGTTATTTTATATTTTAATCTGACATATTTTGATATAAGAAATAAAATATTTCGTAAGATATTTAATTTTCGATAATCTTACCGTAATACTTTTGGTAATTGTTTCGAATAAGGCCTTTTCTGAATTTTTAGAAATATGATCGGATCTCTCGGTAAAACTCATTATTGTGACCCCAACAATGATAATCAGTCGGGGGAGCCCGTCCCCCATCACCCCCTCCCCCCAAAAAACGAAAACCCCCAAAATTACCCAAAATTAGATAATTACCTATTTCTGATTTAAAACTAAAATCTGGTTTGGGTTAGGTTATATCATCCAGAAGTAGAGCCCCCCCCCCGTAAGGGGGCGGAACCCACTGCATCCACGCATACTGTGTCCACGCATACACTTTCCCATTCACACAACATATGTGGGGTGGACCTCGCTTTGCTTTGTAAAGTATATGCGTAGACACAGTGGGTTCCGCCCCCCCCCCTGCGGGAGGGCTCAATTTCCGGAAGATATAACCTAACCCAAACCAAATTTTTGTTTTAAATCAGGAATAGGTTTGGGTTTCAAAATTTTAATAATTATTCTAAATATAATTCTCACACAAAATGTAATAACGTTTATATAACAAAAAATATAAAAAAAATTTGTTGAGATGTCTGTGGAATTGAACTTTAGTCTACTGCGTGATAGACTGAACACTCTTGCACTGAGTCATCACATATTTTTTGTAAATGCTTTCATATTATCAGTATTTATGTAGCAGATATTTTTAAACGATAATATCGATATAATCGAAAAGAAATCAAAATAGCATACTTGTCGGTCTATAAATTTGCAATTGCTGAAAGATAATGTCAGCCAAGAATTAACAATCGTTCTCTCCTTGTCGCTCTATCGTGACAATACATAAAGTATCAACGAAAAAGCAGCAAGTAAAAAAAGCAATAAATTGCCAAGTCTAATAAGTGCCCGTGTTTTAATACTGTATATTAGTTCACTCTGTGAGTTATTATTTTACTGTTATTATTTATCATCATACAATTTTTAATCATATATATAATTTTTAGATATTATTGATACATATATACGTTTATGCACAAATGATCTTCGACGTGTCGAATAATTGGTGCGGCGGCTGCGCGACGAGAGCTTTGTTCTACATCGAAGAGTTCAACAGGGAAGAGACCGTGGTTTATCTGTAAAAAATCTTGGCGTTCGTTGAACGACGAGTGACGAATCGAGAGACGATGAAGGAGCGCGATCTTCTCGATAGCGCGCGGAACGTCGCGACGGCGGACGCGTATCTCGCGTGGGCGCGACGTTGCGACGAGCGTCTCGAGTCTCTGCGAGACGAGTGTCGAGGCGAACACCGGGGGAGATCCACCGGAGCGATCAATTCTCCGATCGCTCGAATCGTTCGATTGACGGGCGCGAGAGACGATCTGCGTCGGCGTTTCTAGCGCGTGGGAGGAGGTGTCGAGAGGCGCGACGGATTCTCGTGGTCCCAGATCGAGACGGCTTTCTCTAGACGCGTTTTAACCGGCGCGGTTATCAATTTCGATTATATCGAACCTTTACGATTTCTCGAGGACGCTAGAGATACCGTGCTCGATCGAATACGCGATGTTATGGACGGATATAACAGTGTCAAGGTCAATACCGTGTTCATCGGTGAGTTCGTCTCGGGCGACAAGATCGACGTTAAGACTATCGCCACGAAGTATTATCCGCTTCTACCTCTTTCCGACTTGCGAGAGTGGTACGGGAAGCGCGTGGTCGACGCTACTCTAGCTTCGCTAGAGGAGTTTCAGGAGCGCGATAGCGGATGGGCGTTATCGCGAATACAAAATTTAACGGTGAACTTGAATAGGTACTAATCCTATGCGCGTCGGATGCTACGTCGAGATACCGCGAAAGATCGTGTTGAAGAAAGCGGTGGTCAACATGCGATCTACGGATAACGCGTGTTTCGCGTGGGCGGTAGTCGCCGCTTTATATCCGGTTGAGAAAAATACGGAGAGAAGCTCGCGGTATCTTCACTACTCGACAGTGCTGAATCTGGAGGGTATCGAGTTTCCCATGAGTTTGAACGGAATTACTAGATTCGAGCGTATTAACGACGTATCCATCAACGTGTATACCGTTCGGGATAAGAAGGACGGGAAAGGCCGTACTACCGTATCGTTCCTCTGTGTCTCACCGGTGATAAGAAGGACAGAAACGTTAATCTGCTGTATCTGATACGACGCAACGAGATAATGCGGCGCATTTCACGTGGATCAAAAATCTGTCTCGACTCATTGGCTCGCAACTGAGCGGTAGGCAACATAAAGCGCATATATGCGATCGGTGAGTGTGAACTAAAAAAAATTGTTGCGTAATGCGGATAATGTACGCGATTTAAAAATGTGCGTTATATCGCAGATGCATTATTTTCGAATGAGCGATAAGTTATCGGCTCACAGCGCGGACTGCGGAAGGATGAACGAGTGCGCTATAGTTCTTCCTACCAAAGACGACAAATGGTTAAAGTTTCGCAACTACGGTAGAAAGGAGCGACTTCCGTTCGTAGTGTACGCCGATTTCGAATGCGTGCTGGAGAAGAAAGAGGACAGGAGAACGTCGAACACGTCCATCGTTCAGCATCACAAAGTCTATAGCGCGGGATATTACGCGCGATGCGCGCTCGACGACGCTAGCTCGATTTACAGAGCCTATCGCGGCGAGGATTGCGTATCGTGGTTCGTTAAAGAACTGTACGATCTAGCGCTTCGCGCGAGGACTATTCTCGACACCGATGCGCCTATGACGGATCTTACACCGGACGAGTGGAAGAGATTTATGAGCGCGACGCATTGTCGCGTGTGCGAGAGACCGTTCGGACCGGAAGACGCTCGCGTGCGCGATCACTGTCACCTGACCGGACGATACAGAGGTCCGGCGCATTCGAATTGTAATTTAAATTATAAGGATACTTACGTAATTCCCGTATTCTTTCACAATTTATCGGGCTACGACGCGCATTTCATCATCAAAGATGTGGCTAACGCCTTTCCTGGTAGCGTCGAACTGTTGCCGCTAACGAAGGAAACGTACATCTCTTTCACGAAGAACGTCGAGGATGCGTCAAACGAGGGATGGTTAGGGAGACGCCTGAAATTGCGCTTCGTTGATTCTTTCAAGTTTCTAAGCGCGAGTCTCGAAAAATTGGCGTCGTATCTCGACAAGAGCGAGCTGAGGATCGCGCGTTCGGAATTTTCCGATCTCGACGACGCCGATTTCGAGCTTCTCGCGCGAAAGGGCGTGTTTCCGTACGAGTACGCCGACGACGTCGATAAATTGCTGGAGACTCGTCTATCGCCGCGCGAGACTTTCCACAGTTCGCTGACCGGTGACGCGATATCCGAGAGCGATTACGCGCGCGCGATAAAAGTCTGGGAGCGGTTTCGCGTCGAGACGTTGGGCGACTATAGCGATTTGTTTTTATAAACCGACGTTCTTCTATTGGCCGATGTCTTCGAAAATTTTCCCGACGCGTGTATGAGGAGTTACAATTTAGATTCCGCATACTATTACACGTTACCTGGATACACGTGGGACGCTATGTTAAAGCATACGGATGTTCAATTCGAGTTGTTAACCGACATCGATATGGTGATGTTTGTGGAACGCGGGATACGCGGCGGGCTAAGTCAATGTTCCAATAGATACGCGCGCGCTAATAACAAGTACTTACAGTCGTACGATTCCTCGGAACCGTCGTCTTATCTCATGTACTTCGTACATATAAATAATTTGTACGGATGGGCGATGTGTCAATCGTTGCCTTACGGAGATTTGCGATGGGTCGACGACGTCGAGAGCGTCGACTTAATGTCCGTGACATCGAACTCGCCTATCGGTTACATTTTAGAGGTCGACCTTGCGTATCCGTTCGACCTTCACGACTCTCACGCTGACTTGCCGTTCTGCCCGACGCGCGATAAGCCGCCCGGAAAACGACAGGAGAAACTCCTCGCCACGCTGTACGATAAGAGCCGTTACGTGACGTATTATCGCAATCTGCAGCAATGCGTTCGACACGGATTACGCGTTACAAGGATACACAGAATATTGCGATTCGCGCAATCCCCGTGGCTGCGCGGATACGTCGAACTAAACATGCGACTGCGAATTAACGCGAAAAACGAGTTCGAGAAAAATCTGTACAAATTGATGTATAACGCCGTGTTTGGCAAGACCATGGAGAAGACCGAGTGCGCAATCACTCGGACGTTTGACTCGTGATTTGATGGGACGGGCGATACGGCGCGAAGCCGAACTTTCACAGCAGAAGCGTCTTCGCAAACGATCTCGTAGCCGTGGAATTGCGCAAACTCGAGATCAACAAACCGGTCTACGTGGGTATGTGCATCCTCAACGTGTCCAAGATGCGCTTGTACGAATTTCACTACGAGTATATGCTACTGTTATATCGAGATAAGTGTAGGATAATGTACACCGACACGGATAGTCTCATTTATCGCGTCGAGTGCGAGGACGTGTACGAGGATATGAAGCGCGACATGGACAGATTCGACACGAGCGATTACGCGGCGGACAACGCGTACGGTATGCCTGTCGCTAACAAGAAAATACCCGGTGCGATGAAGGACGAGAACACCGGTGCGATCATGACGGAATTCGTCGGGCTCAGAGCTAAAATGTACGCGCTGCGAATCGACGGTAGAGGCGATACGAAGAGGATCAAGGGCGTTAAGAGCGGCGCACAGTGGGGCCACAAGACATGCGTTGTTTCAAAAAAGTCTAGAGCTCTTGGTTTTTAAGCTATCTTGACTTTTTTTTTAAATGATCGTCTTGAAATTTGCAAAAGATCCCTTGTGGCCGATTAAAAAAAAATTGTTACTAATTAGTAAAACATAAACACAAGAACATTTTTCTGAAAATAGACTGTAACTGCCGAACAATTGCATACAACTTATTTAAATGGATTGATAAATGTTTCTGAAGTATATATATACATATATATATGTGTGTGTGTGTGTGTGTATCACGTGCGTGTGTGCGTGTGCGTGTCTTACGTGTACAGCCTCGATTAGGCGCAAATTGTGTCTTAAGCCCAAAATACAATTTAAAAGATTGAAAAAGCTATACATATATATATTTATATATGAATATACATATACATAGACGTATATTTATATATATGTACATAAATATATCTGCATATATATTTAGATATATATGAATACCTATATACAAACATATACAAACGTATATACATGTCCATACATTTATATAGATATACGTATACATATATATACATCCATACACATTTATATACGCATACATATTCATACAGATACATAGAC